TAATTGATTCTTTATATTCATTACATTAACAAGCTTAAGAAGAGTTTATAAAATTTATTGCATCTGCATTATCATAAAACATTGCTGATGTAAAAGCTAATCAATTAAATATTGAAGAAATAGAAGTTATTTTGTTAAGATAAGTGAAATATTCAATGATATAAGATGGATATTTTAAAACAAAAAGTGTTTAATTTTCACCATATGTAAAAACTATGTCAATATCTTAAATAACAAGCAGATTTTCTTCTGTGATTTAAGATACAACATCAAGTAATATGGACTTTGATAGAGTGAGCATTTTGAACAAAATAGTTGAAAATCAAAAGGAAGAAATTGCAAAATTAAATTCCTAATTGACTGGAAATGATTTGGTTAGAAAAAAAACTGTTTAATTGAAACTCAAAGATCAAACTAACTTATAAAATGATTTGAAATAAGTGGAAGATGAAGATTTAGTATTTTCTAATTTGAGAAGAAAAACAATGAATGTATTAAATTAACAGGAAGTTGATGAAGATGTTGCTGTATTAACAGATTATATAAATAAATTGGAAGAAGTATTAATATTAAAGCATAGAGTAGTAAAGGATTAAAATATTAAAATTTTGGAAATGCAAGAAAAGAATGAAAAACTATATGAAGAAATATAAAAACTTAAAAAAGAAGTTTAATTATCTGAAGTTAAATTTATTGATTAAACAAAAGTTACTCATTAAATTGAAAAGGAAGTTAATGAAAAATCAAGAATAATTGATGAATATAAAAAAAAAAATAAGGAATTATAAGATAATTTGGTCTCTGCTTAAACCGAAAATAATAAATATAAAATATAATTACTTGAAGTCAAAGCCTTAGAAGGAAATTAAGCTATTGGTGATGGATTGAAATAAAGTTCCTTTTAAAGGGAGATGCAAAAACTTTAAGATGATAATGCTAGATTATAAAAGAAAATTGTAGATTTAGAAAATTAAGTCTTAGAATAAAATTCAAAATCTAGTGATTAAAATGAAACAAGAAAACTTTAAATTTAAATTACTTAACTTGAATAATCAAAATTTTTGATTAATGCTTAATTAAGCTAGAGAGAAGCCACAATCACGTAATTGTAAAGACAAATTTAAGGGTTATTAGATGAAAGCAATATGAAATCAGAGAGCGATTAAATTATGTAAGAAAGAAAAAAAAATTCTGAATTATAACTTTAAATAAGTAATTATTAAAATTCAGAAAAAGTTTGGAATTCAAAATTTAGTGATATTGAACATAAACTAAAAGAGTAAATGTTAATAAATTAAGAATTGAGAACTAAAGTTAACTCTTCAAATCCTTCTATAACAATTACAAAAGATGAAAATGAGAGAAATTATGAAAGAATTCGAGAATAATTATAATTTGAATTGGAAGCTAAAACAACCTTAACTAAATAATTATTTTAATAAATTGAGGAATTATCTATAAAATTGAATTAAGAGAGATCCAAATCCTAAAACTTATAAATTGAATATGATCAACTTTTAGAATAAACAAATTTCAGATAAAATAGATCTTAAACAATATAATAATAAAACTAATAAAAAGATTAAAGAATTCAAGATTTTAGTGCATAAATTGAATAATTATAATTAGAATTATCTAAAGCAAGATCATAATAATAATAATTAGCAACTATGCATTAAAATCTTTAAGAAAATTTTAAAGCAGCAGAAATGAAAATTGTAGAACTAGAACATTAAAAAAAAATGTATGATAGAACAATATAAGAAAAAGTAGAGTTAGTAACTTCTTATGAAACAAAAATAAAAGAATTAAACACTTAAAAAAATTAATTAGATGATTAATTGACAGAAAGTTTAAAAAAATAAAGTGAATAAAAGGTTTTATTAGATAGTTTGTAATTTTAAGTTGGAAATAAAGGTAGAGAATATGAAAATCTTAAATAAAAAATAGAAGAATAGGAACTAATTATTTTAGGGTAAAAAGAAAAGATTCATAAAGTAAAGGAATCAAATGAAGCAGAATAAAATGAAAAATCAATTCTTGGAACAGAATAAGAAAATCTAAAAAAATAATTATAAATGAAAGAAGAATAAATACGTTCAAGATAAGAATAAATCAATAGTCTCAATGAATAAATTAGAAATTTGAATGAAAAGGTATCTAATCTAGAATAGTAAAGAACACTTTAACTTAAATAATTGAAACATCTTGAAGATTAAATAAATTCTAAAGAAAGGGAATATATGACAGAAATTTCAAAGGTCATTTCTGAAAGAGATTTACAGAAACAAAGGGTTATAGAGGGTGAGGCTTAGATATTAAGATTATAATAAAATGATAAGAAATAAAAAACTGAAATTTCAAATTTAAATGAGGATCTATAATAATAATTATTAACACTTGAATAATTAAATAAGTAAATTAAAGATTATGAAATATAACAAAATTAATCAAGGGAAACTAATTTGGAAAATAGTAAAGTTCAATAAATAAGATTGGAAAAATTGGAATAATAAAATTCAAACATGAACATTAAAATTGAGGCTTAAAGTTAAGAAATTAAATCATATATTGCCAAAATAGAAGAGCAATTAACAATAATAACTGAATTGAAATATAAAGTTTAGGAGGAAGAGAGTTTAAGAAAGGCAAAAGAAAAATAAGCTAATGACAAAGTTTAATAAATTGCTTAACTTGAAAATTAATTAATTAAAATATAAGAAAAATATAATTAAAGCAATAGATAATCATAAGATATTTAAAATCAATATGATGATCTAAAAAAAAGATATGATGTTGAATTAAACAATATGTAATCTCTTTAGAGTAAATCTATTGAATACAACTCTTTATAATAAAGATATATGGAATAAAGTCAAAAATTAAGCTTTTTAGAAAAGTAATTGTTGGATTATAATGAAATTGCTGATTAACATTAAAAATAAAAGAAGGAACTTTAAAGTCTAACTGATTTACTTGACTCAAAATTAGCAACAATTGTAGCTCATGAGACTAAAATAATTGATTTAACAAATTAATTAAAAGAATCAAATTCATAATTATAATAAGTTAGAAAAGAAAATCATGAGATTATGTAGAAAAGAGCATAAGATATGTAGGCTATGGCATAATTAAAATAAATAGAAGTAGAAAATGGAGAATTAAAATAATAAGTTTATTCTCATGAAGCTACCATATAAAATTAAGAAGCATTATTATCAGTATTAAAAGGAAATTAATTAAATTTAGAGTAAAGTTAGATGAAATTAAAAATTGATTATTAACATTTAGAAGAAAAATATAATGAAAAGTTGATAGATTTTGATGAGAAATCAAAGGCTCTTTTTAATTTATAAAATAAATTTGATTAATTGAATTTTAGAGCTTAATAATCTGAAGAAAATTTAAGACTTGTTGAAGATTAGAGAGATGATTATTAAAGTAAATATGAATTGGCCTTGTAAGAGTTAGATATCTATAAAGGAAAGGATAAAGAGATAAATTTAATGGCAGCAAATAAAATTGAATTGTAAGAATAAATACATTCTGTATAGAAGAAAAATAAAGTATTAGAGAGAGAACTTTAAGTATCTTAAAATGCTTTATAATCAAAAGAATCAGATATATTATAATATTAACATACTATTTAAAAAAAAGAATAATAAATAACAACATTAGAAGGAGCTATTGTAAAATTAAAGGCTGATTTAACAAATTCAAAAAATAGTTATGAATAATTATAATTAGAATTGACAGAAATGAATTCAGAACAAACTTCATCTGGAGAATTGTTTTCATAAGTTAAAAAATTAACTAATGATAATCTAAATAAAAACACTTAAATTGATTAATTAAAATTATAAATTAATGAACTTTAAGATAAAAATAGAAATCTTGAGAAATAATATAATAAACTAAGAAGTGATGGACTAATAGGTAACTCAGCAAATTCAGAGTCTTTTGAATTAAGATCAAGGTTAGATGAATTAGAAGGATAATTTAAATAATCTTAGATTTCTATTAAACAAAAAGATTAGCAAATTTAAGAATTAAAATAATTGCTTGATAATCAAAATTATCAACCTTATTAGAAAGAAAAAGAAAAATAAAATAATCATAAACCATAAAATAATAATAATGATCATGAAAACATGAAAATATAAGAATATTAATTCATAATTGAATAACAAACAGAAGAAATAGAAAATATGAAAAGGAATTCCCAAGGTTTGGGTGAAGAATTAACAGAATTATTAACTTTAATTGTGAGTGCATTTTTAAAAAAGAAGATCAAAAAAGATTAATTAAATATAGCTACTGTTCTTGATTAAATTAAACTATTTTAAAAGGAAAATAAAAGTCTAACAATAAAAGAAGAGGATGATGAATAATTAGTCTTACAAAAACTTTAATAATATAGAGGAGATTATATCAACTTTAGATTCAGAGTTGAATAACTGTTAACAAGGATAACTGTATTAAAGTAATAAATGCTTTAAGTTATCTCTGAAGCTAAAATCTAAGGAAAGAAAAAAGATGTTGATAAGAATATGGATGTAGAAAACTTAGTGATGTATTTCAAGTTGCTTTTGGATTCGTAAGCTGTCTAGTACAGCAATCAATTGTAACTATGTTAGTAATATGAAGCTGAACTAAAATCATACTAAAATAATACAAGTCCTTAAGGATAAATCATATAATAAGTGAAAGAATTATTATCAAAAGCTCCATTTTTAACTTAACAATAAATATATTAATTTACGGAACCAAAGGTTTCAATTAAATTAAGAAAAGATTAAGATTAAGAAGATGCTAGACTATTATTAGAGGCTAGAAATTAATAAATTTAGTGGTTAAAAAATTTGATAAATGAAAAGTAAGATCAACTAGCAGTTATGAACACATATTTAACAAATTTAAAACAGTTGATGGATAAATATCATTTGAAATGAAAATTATCAATATTTAAATAGAATAAGCATTAAAATTAATAAAATTAATCAACGAAATATTCTAGATTCTGCTAATTGTGTTTCAAAACTATTAAATTTATTCTCTGAGACTCCTCTAGGTCTATATACAGATTTTGTCAGATTTTCTTTATTCATAGGTTTAGATTATCTATTATTATTATTTATTTTTTATAATTCAGATAATTGGACATATAATTTTTATATTTCTTAATCTTTATATTAACTATCTAATTCATTTTTATTTTAGTATCTTTATCTTAAAATTTATAATTGCTAGATGTAGTTATTGTTCTAATTGTTTTAAAGGATACATTAATTGTTATTTTAACAACCATCAAGTTAGGTATCATTAATATTTGTTTATAAATTGATGATAGTTTTACTTAATTTGATGTTAAGTTCTTATTAATCTATCAATTTGAGTGTTATTAACTATTTTTACTATTCTGATTGTTAAAGCTTTTAATTAAGTTATATAATTTCTTATCTTAAATGGTTATTTTCTTCAATCAATCTCTAATCTGTAGATTTTCTAAATTATAAATGTATTTTGTACTAATCAAGTTCTTCATACAATTATTGTAACTCTGAACGAAGCAATACATTCTCATTCTCTAATTCCAATACTTTGGTAATATCCATTTGCTTAAAGAAAATATATGATATTAATATTTCAGTTAATTGTTTATAAATAAAGAAAATTTCATTTACTTTTTAATTTGTTTTTGTAAATATTTTTGAAAGCAGTGAGTAATTTTATAATATATTCTTTATCTCCTTTTAGCAATTTTTCTTATTCTATAACTAATTCTAAAGGCATATCTAATTTATCTTTCAAAACACTGAAAGCCTTTCTTATATTTACCAAACAACCTGCATTAGTATTAGGTTTATATTATAATCCTTTAAATTAGATATTTTCTAGCTTTTACACTATAGAACAAATAATAATACTATTTGATTATTTAAAATAATTACCCATCTTTGAATTCTTCCAAAATATCATTATTCCAATTTATTTTGAAACCAAAATTATTGAGCCATTCAAATTAAGGTGGGTCATCAAAAATTAGCTTTTTGCTTACTTATTATGGTTAAGCAAAACTACTTTCTTTTTAAATGAGAGAAAAGGGTTCTTACTAAATTAAATTCCCTATTTTAGATATACCCTTGCTTTAAACAATAGACTTTTTTAGATAAGGGCCATCTTCAAAATATGAATCCCCTTATCTTTAAGGTAGCCCATCAAAATATCTCCTTAAATCTTCAAATAATCCTAAAATTATCAATTAATCTCCTTCATATATTAATTTTTCTGACCAAACAAATCTTTATCCAATAGGTTTACCTTTTAAATAATCCAAAGCCTTTCTAATATTTGCAATACATTGTTTTTCTCCAATAGGTTTAGTGTAAATTGGAGTAATTTTCTATTAAAATATTTCTGTTTCAACTTAACATAGCAAAATTCCAGTTTAACATTAGAAAATTAGATCATTAAAATTCTATATAGTAGATGTATATTCTCTAGCAAAATGAAGGGTTATCAGTTTCAATTAATCAATCTCTTCTTATCTGTATGGTAGTGTAAATGAATTAGTAATAGGTTCTATCTTTTTAGTTTATTATTTTAATAGCCACCAATATAAACCCATAGCAGATTTATCTAACTACATAATACTTGATTTATTTATTTTCCCAATCCAAGCTGGTAAATTTCCAGCATCTACTATGGCTTTTGTTGCTTATAAAGCAGAATCTACATTAAATTCAACTTCTAAAATAGATTTAAAATTGTTATTTGTGATTGGTTATTCTAATAATTATAATATATAATTTCCATTACGAATAGGATCTGTAAACAGACTAAATATAATAAAAAACATACTTATCATTATTATAAAGACCTTTTTATTTAAAATAAGTTTAAACATATAATTCCATTTCTCTAGTCACACAATTTTTGCTCATTGATGTAGATCTAGCTTTTTATTATTATTTTGAGCTACTAAAATTTCTAGAATGTTGTAGAGATTAATTAACAGGAGTGCCATTTTAAGAACCAATATTAGATTTTTTCATTAGAGAATTCAATGATCTATTAACACTATCATATTCTTATTTCATATTATGAATTCTTGAATATGGTCCAACAGGAGATCTATTTGCAGTACTTGGCTTTACAGATTTTGATTATTAGGGCTAATCTATTGTAATTTCTAATTAAGTATCTGCAAAGGATTGTTTATGCTACTACTTTTTTTAAGAAAGTGTTATTTATTGTTGTAATTTAGATTAAGAATGTTATTAAAATGATTATGTATTTTATTAAATTGGTTATTATTTCTAAGTCTATCTTAATGTAGTATCAACAGATTAAGAATGATTAGCTATTGCAACATTTCCACAATTAGTATAATAAACTTTTATATCATGCATCAAACCCCAAAAAGTTTCCTCATCTCCATCAACTAACTATTATTCTTAATTTAAGTATTTATAACTCATTCTTTCAAGTTATTTTAAGTACTCAAGTACCCTTCTATAATTATGTCTGATTTCTCTTATACTTTTTGGATTTCTTAAAGCTCCTTTTAGAACTTCATCTCTACCAGTTAGTCTATTTATTAAATCAAAAAAAATAACTCCATTTTTACAGATTTTTGGCAGTTTATTTTCCAATCCTTATGCATTTGATTTTATTAATCGTATTTATTTAAGCCATTCAATTAATTATTATTTTTATTCTATAGTAATAGAATTTTATTATTATGATTATTATTATTATTATTATTATTATTATTATAATTATTATTATTATTATTATTAATTATATATGTAATCCTAATTTACTTATTCATGTTAACTATAGCTCTCTTAACTATGTTTTGATTTGTTTTCTCTTTTTTATTTTTATTATAGATTTTATTATTCTTTTACTATTTGATTTTCTAACACTTAAAGTTCATTCTTTAATTTTTAATTGTATGACTCTTTATTAGATTTAATAGGTGTCAGATTACTAATAGAATCATTTGATTAATTTTATGGTTTGGATCGATTTGAAGTTTCAGCATATTCTGTTTAATGAGTTTATGATCTTTATTGATAATTATTAGTCTCTTAATAAGGACTATTTGGTTTAATCATTTTGTATTTATTTGCAATAATCTCTTCATTAGATGTAATCTAGATTGATTAATTTGGTTAGACTAAGTTTTCATCAACATAGAATAACGGATCATCTTATTTTTGAGGTGCTTTGGGAGGTTTTGATGAAGCTGATGATACAGATTTTGATCTATAAAATTATTATAGAATCTAAAAAATCTTTAATGGATTTTGGTATAGCATTTATCCAGTTAAATGCTTCACTGATATTTATTGACTTTCTTCTAACAAAGATAAAGCAAATGTTAAATTTCTTATACAACTTTAATAGTCTTGTTTTGTGCAATTTATTACTCTTATCTTTAATTCACATTATCTTTTGTCTTAAAATAATTCTTTCGATATTATCTAACATAATGCGACACCTTTGATTTTTATCAAAAGATACCTGTTTTTAGATCATCAATACTCTTTGTGTTTTCGAATGTATTTGCCCAGTCTATTATTTCTTATTCCATTCAAATTTAATATAACAGTTAATAATAATTTATTTATCATTTTGATATTTGCAATTTATTATATTAATCCTCTAACTATGCTAAGAGTCTTTCGAAATCATTAACTCTGAATGAAGTATAAAATCTGGATTTAGCTGTAATTATAGGAACTCCTCTTGAATTTTCTTATCTCTCTTAATCCAATACTTTAAGATTCATTTTAGTAGCTAAATTATTAATCAATATTTATTACTTTCTAATTTTTATGTGTATTTTGAATAATATGCTCTTTCCAATTCATCAAGTTGAATAGATTACCTTTTTTACTATTACAATTATTGATTTCCTTAATGACTTGGATTTATTTAATATTATGATTAATTGTCTTGAACTAATTAAACTTATACATGTAATGGACCTTATGATTTATTTTATTAAATCTATTATTATTATTATATTAGTTATTATTGTTATAACAACTATTATTAGTAATTTGATTGTAATTCTGATCCCTTTTATTCAAATCTTCTAGATGGAGATTTATTATTTATATAAGCTTTAGGGCTTTAAGGGATATCTTCATTACCATCAAGTTCAGGATCATCAATAGTACTTCCTGCATTCCAACAATTTTTAACTTTTGATTTAACAGTTTTTGGATCTACTTTTGGATTCTTTAATGGAATTTATTTAGATTTTCTTTTTAAAAAATTTTTTGGTTTTTGATCTGAATTATCATCTTTAGGAGAGCCTTCATCTACTTATTCTTTCATAGGAGTTTATCTTTCAGGAGTAGCACTGAAATTTTATTTACTAGATTTAGGTGATAATTATTTTTATTGTTTTTCTTAAAGATTTTTTTATGATAATACTTACTTTTTTTAGGGTATTTATTATTATTGTTATGGTAGAACCTCTTTCTCTAATTATTATTCAATCACTTCTTCATCATCAATCTATTCGAGTTATTATTGTTCTTCTTATTTTTTCTTAGCTTCTTGAATTGCTTTTCTTGGATCATATTTTGTTCTTTTTTTTAAATTTTCTAAGAGTTTAGGATCTTTCTTTTTTTGTTTTGGTTTTTCTAGATCATTTTAATCGTCATTTTAAACTTTTCCAAAAGGGGGTTCATTTTCATTTTAATTATCATACATATTTTATTATGGAGCATCAATTATTTTATTATCCTTCTTTTAATCTTTTTTTTTCTTAAGAGGTTGCTTTTATTTCTTTGGAGGAGCTTCTTCTTCAAAATCACCATAAGTTCCTTTTCCATTAATTGGCATATCATCAACAGGTATATTATATTATCCTTTACCACCTAATGGTCTTTCATCTTCAAATTATTAATATTATCCAGAGCTAGCAATTGGTCTATCATTATCTGGAAATTATTCTTAATCTATTTAATATGTATCTTTTCCTTTTTTGATTGGCCTATCATCCTCATATTAGTTGATGGCTTTTGTATTTTTTGCAGTTGTGGGTCTATCATCTTCATAATTATTATTTCTATTTTTTGCATTAATAGGTCTTTCATCTTCATAAAGATTCTAAGTATTTGTATATTTTGCATTTATTGGTCTATCATCTTCTTGGTATTAATATTTACTCTTCCCACAAATGGGTCTGTCATCATCATATGAATTTCGTTCAGGAGTTATCCTGTCTTAAACTGCATAATTGTGTTGATTTTTAGATTTAATTGGTCTTTCATCTTATTAATATTCATATCTTTATGATTGATTATATTATCCTGATAAATTTGAGTTAGAATGACTTTTATCACGAATTTATGATTGTTATTGCATATATTGTTAATAATCTGCTTGAGGCTATTCTGTATATTCGTTTTGAATTAATTAATCATAATATTATTGTTCTATTTAATTTTGTTTAGGTAATTATTTTTAAGGTTTTTTGTAATAATTTTATTAATAGTTTTAGTCTTAATTAACAAATTCATTATCCAACCATTGATTACGAATGAATTATTTTTAAGAACTTTTCACTCTATTTAGTTTTTGATAGAATTGACCATTCTGTAAATAACTATCTATCATTCTTATTAGGTTTATCTTTTTTTATCTTATTTATGGATTTCCATATGCTTTTAATAAATATTTATATATGTACTTCCATCATCAGTTTCTATAATATTTTATCTCAACTTAGCCACATCAGGAACTTTCATAATTTATCTTGTCCTATATCCTTATAAATTAGAATTAATGAAAAACCTTGAATAAATCCATTTAAAATAGCTTTGAATCTTCTGATATGCATCATAATAATTTTATGTCTCTATCTCTAAATGTATCCCTTCACATTCTTTTAAATTAAGGTAGCACAAAAATTAAGGAATTTAACTATCATTTCCTGATTCTTTTATGACTCTTATCGTTACATTATAATTTTTAATAAAATTTGATTTAATAAAATGCTAAAATCATTCACTTGCTTCAATTATGTTTATTTGGGTAGTTGCAAAATTATTTAGTCTTAAATCTAATCCTATTTCATCTAAAGTGTTTTATGCCTTCTATCTAGCAGACTAAATTTTTTTATCAATTTCACTGAAATCTACTGGATCGCTAGATAAAATATGAGATTTAGAGGCTGATCCTTGAGTATGGAAAGAATAAAATTAGGACTCCAACATTTCTATATTATTATAATTAAAAACCTCTTTGTTTTCCAATAGGATTCAGATAAGTAGCAAAACTATCTTATTAAGGATGGAGAATTTATAATAGACTTTTATAATTTGGTCTGCCTTCTTTATGTAATTTTAGCATTGATTGAATAGTGGATTTAAAGAAATTACTATATTAGTATTTCAAACAATATTTATTTATTAGTTGATTAACGTAGTCTTGTTTAAATAACAGTTTTTCTTGATTAAAGAATTCCACACATCTTTATCCACTCATTAGGCTTACCATCATAAGACCAAGACAAAAGATATTTACCAATTCTTAATCAGTTGTATCGTTTTTATTTTTTTCTGATAAGAGAATCAACTATTCAGGAGCTATATATTCTAAATCTCTTTAATTAAAGAGAACCTAATAATAATTGCTAAGTCTTGTACTATCAAGGAACTAATCAAAATATTTGATCTATCTTTGATCATCAATTAGAATCCTTGATGGATAAATATCAATAATTTCATAATTTAAAGTTTTCATATAATGACATAGACTTGAGATCTCATATATAATGTATAAAAGCTCTTGTTCTGAATATGTGGTCTTATGGACCTTTCTTAGATGAATATCGTTTTATAATGTGTTATTAAAGTATTCAACAGTTATTGATAATATTATACATGAACTACAAAAGTCATCCATCTTTCCACTATCAAATGATATTATTTTAATCAAGCATTTATGATTCAATTACAATCTTAATTAAATTCAATATAATACCTTTTTACTAAACTGGCTTTTATTTCTTCAGCTGAAGAATCACTTGTGTAAACTTATTTAATTTCTGCAATTATTAAATTGTTAGCTTTATTTTTATAAATACTAATTTCTCCATAATTGGGATCTAGTCTCTTATCTAGAAACTCACTTTAAGATTCACTTGTTTATTAATTACCCATTTTAATTGATTTATTTTTAAATTAAATTTATTTTCTTCAATTATATTAATGTAAGAAGTCATATTAACAAACGATGCAAAAGCAAAAATACTTCATGATTACTTATCTCAAACATATGTTCCATAACTCAGTGATCATCTTTTTAAGACTGATGAATATTTAAAGAAAGAATCAGAAGATTTTGAAAAGTCATTTTTATTTTCTATTTTAGGATTATTAATTAAAGTGATGAATTAACAGAAGAGTTAGTTGAAAAAAAAACAATAATTAGTAGAACTGTTAAATAACTAATTGATAAAATATAATCTGAATAAGTAAATTTCATATTGATAAAAAAGGAAAAACTCAAAAAAAGTGAAACATATAAAAAAGGTAAGAAAGATGAATTAACTGCTATTCAAAAAGCTATAGATTCTATTTCTAGTGCAATGAAAGAGACTTGTTCAAAAGTAATTTCTTAAATATCCTTATACAGATTGATTCTAAAGAATTAAATAAGATAGGATAATTACCTTAAGGAATGGATTAATTCATGTCAAAATTGTTTCATATTATTTATAATGAAGACCAAAGTAAATTCAACTGGCCTGATTTTAAAAAGAAAGTGTAATATTCACTAATTAAATTTTAGCTTTGATTAAGATAAAGGGGCTGACTTTTAAAGTAGATTAGCTAACTTTTAATTTAAGGGAGTAAGTTAAGAAAAAGAAAACTTATTACTTGAAATGAAGGCAGATCCATAATTTTAAAAGGTCTTTTAAGATCCTTAATATACAAAAGCATTTTTAGATATAGCTGATTGGGTATATATATGTAAAGACAATTAAAATAGATTCACTTTGCTGTTTCAGGTATTGAAAATTAAAGAAAGAAGGATTAATCAGCAATAGAATTTGAAAGAATTGACAAAGAATTTGCAGGTAGAAAGGTTGAATTAGAAAGTTATTAAAGAACTCATGTATATATTCATGATCATCTATAGGACTTTTGGGTTTCATAGCTTAAATATGTAGAGGATTAATAAGTGTTATTGCATTAATTGTAACCAAATATTAAACAAGTTGCTTAAGAAATTTAAGGTAGCAAAGGATTGTTAGAATAACATATTGGTAAATTCATTCAAGGAGCTGAGAAAGTTAATGAATTAATGCATCCAAACATTTGATAGTATAATAAAATCAATAATTTATAAGTCATAATTCTTACAAAAACAATTTTATCATTTATCTGTTCTGGATGACAATTTTAATTTATTCCAATATTTACCATATTTTGATTTATGTAAATCTGACATAGTTTATCTTAGTCTTTCTTTTTATAGATTTTGATATTCAAGTAAACTTAATTCTGCTTTATGCTATTATTTTATTTCTTAAAGAGATTCCACTCTTGTTTCTTGTCCAGCATCCAT